AGATTTTAATAATGATTAGTTACGGGGAGAATTGTAGAAGTAGCAAACTTATTTAATCAGAGGTATCCTCAGTTGCCTAATATTTCACAAGGTACTGTGTCTAAAATGAATGCACAATTGAAGGTGAAAGTGGATATTTTGTTAAGTGTCGCAGAGAATCCAACGTCAAGCTCACGTCAAATTGCACGTCAAATTGCACGTCAAAATAATGTGTCACAAAACTGTCCTAAGATCGTAAAATGGATTTCTGCGAAAGAAGGATGGATAAAATTAGCACAACTAAAATAGCTCTTGGCAAAATTCTTTTTTCTAATGAATCAAGATTTACATTGAACGGAGAGGTAAACCGACAAAACTATAGATATTTGTCAGCGGATAATCCTCATTGGATGCGTAATACACACACTCAGTATCCTCAAAAGTATGCTTTAATGGTGAGACATTACTTGAATGAAATCTTTTTTAATAAACGGAATGGACGAAGGGGCACTATTGAGTGGCCAGTTGGGTTACCAGATCTTACGCCTTTGGATTTTTTTCAACTAGCATTGAAGACCTGAAAGAAAGAATAACTACAGTACGGAATATTTCACCTCAAACTTTAAACAAAATTCGGGACGAGTTTTATAGGAGACTGTGTTATTGCCAACAACAATATGGAGAATATTTTAAGTATTTATTTTAACGTAATCCAATCAATTACCTCGGGTATTCTATGAATTAATTGTATTTAAGAAAATTATACTGAATTTCAAAATGTCACCTTGTATTGTTCATAATACACTCTACATGATATAGTTCATTGAGATCAGGTTGTTAACGAGCTTTAAAAACATAAAAATATACAGATTTTTCATTAAATATACAGATTATGGACTATGCCAGACTTACCTGTATCACCCTGTACACCCTGTCACAAGGACACAAACAATTTTATTTCATAAGCGGTTTCCACACTGTATATTAAACACAGCAGATCAACAAGAGTATCTGAAAATATAAAAATAATTATTATTATTTTAAAAGCGTTACTTTTTATAGAGTAAATATAGAATTAGATGTTTTGTTTAATTAAGTCGTAAAAATGGCATGTATAGGGTAGTAAAATATGAGATTAATCAATTTGTATAACTCAACACAACTATCAGCACAAAGCGTTGATTTAAATAACCACTTACAATTTATTGTTGCAATAATGCTGCAGAAACTGAAGAAATGCATTTTTTTATATTAGCAAATTGCTTGAAAATGTCACATATTTATTAATAATTACTCCACTAATATCAACGTGTCATAACTATGCTTGATATAACATCAAAATGATATCAAATGTATTAAAGACACTATATTACTTCACTTCCCTCCTCGTTCCAAGTTACTTTATAGGGAATTTTAAATTTTAAATTACTGACAGTTTTAACTAGGCTACAATTTTTCAGAATGATAGGCATCTAGATTTCTCTGTAGCTGTATATACAGGCTGCAGTGATTTCCGAACCATGAGCTTAATGTGTCATATTTTAAAATTATTTCTAAAAATCATACATCAAAGGATATATAGACTGGGCGAAGAAAAAATCAGCCGTACACAGTTTGGTTTTCGGAATGCAGTGGGTACGAGAGAGGCTCTCTTTAGTATACAAGTGCTATTTCAACGATGTAGAGACGTGAACTGCGACATTTATGCGTGCTTCATTGACTACCATAAAGCATTCGATACAGTAAAGTACGACAAGCTTATGGAGATATTAATCAATATTGGAATAAACACCTGTGATTTAAGAATTGTCAGCAATCTGTACTGGAATCAAACATCATCTATCCGGACAGAGGCAGGAGAATCCGACGATATCAAAATCAAACGTAGCGTCCGTCAGGGATGTATACTATCACCACTGTTGTTTAACATATACTCTGAGGAAATCTTTCCAGAAGCAATGGGTGATGTTGAAGCCGGAATTCGAATCAACGGAGAATCTATCAATAAGATTAGATACGCGGACGACACGGTAGTATTCGCTGACAGTTCTGAAACCCTCCAGGAGTTAATGAACAGAATCACAGAGGTCAGTCAGAGATATGGACTTTCACTAAACACTAAGAAAACAAAATGCATGATGATCTCTAAGAAGGAACAGCAATTTGGACAAATCAGTGTAAACGGTCAACAAATAGAAAGAGTAAAAACATACACCTACCTTGGTACGAACGTCAATGAAAATTGGGACCATTCTATAGAAATCAAATGTAGAATAGAGGAAGCAAGATCTGCATTTCAAAAAATGGCTAAGTTATTCAAATGTCATGATTTATCAATGCCCATAAAATCAGGTTACTACGATGTTACAACTTTCCTATACTGTTGTACGGAGTTCAGTCATGGACTCTCACAGACGCCAATTGCAAGAAAATTGAGGATTTTGAAATGTGGCTTTATCGTCATATCCTGAAATATCGTATACCGACCACGTTACTAATGAGGATGTTCTGTTGAGAATGAAAAAATAAAAAGAGCTGTTAACCACAATAAAAACAGCCAAAATCAAATACCTCGATCCCATCATGAGGAACAGCGAAAGATATGGACTGCTGCAACTAATCTTGCAGGGAAAAGTAGAAGAAAAACAGGGACCAGGAAGGCGAAGGATTTACTGGCTGAAAAATCTACGAACGTGGTTCAACACAACAACCACAAATCTTTTTAGAGCAGCAGTGTGCAAAGTGCAGATTGCCATGATGGTCGCCAACATCCGAAATTGATAGGCACTACAAGAAGACGAAGTATATACAGGGTGGAACTAATATGATAAATACAATATTTCTAAAAAATAAAATACAGGATGATTCATTTAAAAAAATTGAGAAAATTGTGATTTTGTTTTCTAGTTCACCCTGTATACAAATTTTTGTCAATAATTTTAATTAAACTTAATTTAAAAACTTCATTATATATATATATATATATTGTTTACTATTTTATATAAAATAAATAATTGTTTATGAATTACTTTTTTATATACATGATGTTCCAAACGATTGAAACTTTCATCAATATCTCGCTACTGCTCTAATGAAATAAGCCAAATATTATGGCCTTGAAGCTCAAACTTTTTACGTCTAAATCGGAATCAACAGAACGATATAACTGTTATTTCGGTATTTTGACCTCGTCAGCCGTTCGAGCTGATTCAGATTCAAGACAGCACCTCTATACGCGAACCACTGAAAGTGGGAAGATTTTGAAGACATTTGTGGGTTGTGGCTTGGTTTGTTGCGGCCTTTTGCTTTTATTGGAATTAGTAATTTTGTAATGCTCTTCTTCTTCTACTTTTTGTAGATCTTTCGATCTGTTTAATTCTGAAGCTGCCTCTGGTTAATTTCTTGGGAGGTAGATTGCCAACTATTCCTCCATCTTTTAGGTGGTCTTCCGGGGGTCTTAAACCGGGCGGATTGTTTTCTAGGGCAATTTTTGGGAGTCTATTCTCATCCATTCGTCTTACATGGCTGTACCACAGCCTCTTGCGCTGCCTTCCCCATCTTACAATATCTTGAATTTTGCACTGCTCTCTAATGTTTGTATTTCTCACTCTGCCTCTTCTTGTTTTCCCCATTATTGTTCTTAAGGTTTTCATTTCGGCAACCCTTAGCATCTGTTTCATTTTGTTGGTATCTTCGCGCACTTCTATGCCATATGTCATGATCGGTCATATGCAAGTCTTATAGATTCTAATTTTACTATCTGTGCGCATATACGGATTTGACCAGACTATCTCCCGCAGACATCCTGACAGTGCAGATGCTTTGTTGATCTGACTCCTCAGGTCCTTTACTGGGTCGTGGGTGCTTGATATATCTATGCCCAGATATCTGAATTGCATCACCTGTTCTATGGGGTTGTCCTCAACCACTAACTTACATCTGAGCGGATCTTTTGCTATTGTCACACATTTAGTTTTGTTGGTAGAGATGTTCATATTTAGTAGTCGGCTTGTTTGAAAGAACTGAAAGAGCTGCCTTTGGAGATCATCTTCTGATTCGGCAATAATTGATGCATCGTCTGCGTAACACACCATACCAATTCTTTTGTTGCCCATTCTATATCCGAGATTAAGAGATGTTACTTTGTTGATAATTTTGCTCATGAGAAGATTGAACAAGAAGGGGCTTAAACTGTCGCCTTGTCTAATTCCTCCTGGTGTTAGAATATTTTCAGTGAATTCGTCTCCTGCTCTAACTTTGGTTACGTTGTTGTTATTTAGGTTATGGAGTATCTTTGTTATACTGGTCGGTGTTTCATTTTCTATTAATATATTTAGAATGTCTCCCAGGCGAACTCTGTCAAATGCCTTCGTCAAATCAATGAAGCAAATATACGCTGGCATGCCGAACTCTATAGCTTTTTCTTTTATTTGTTTTATTATAAATACTGCGTCTGTTATAGACCGCCCTTTTGTAAAACCTTGTTGTTCTTCAGCATTAGTGATTTGCTTTTCCAATTTGTCCTTGAGAATACCCGTGAAAAGTTTCATTGTTGTATTTAAGAGGGTTATTCCTCTATAGTTTTGTGGGCAGGTTTTTTGTCCTTTTTTAAATATGGGGATTGTGATACTATTATGCCATTCCTCTGGTGTTTCTGTTTTGTTTAATATTTTGTTAAATAGTTGTGCCAGTTTACTTGCAAGTTCCGGACCTCCATATTTTAAAAGTTCATTGGGTATACCATCCGTTCCCGGTGATTTTCTGTTTTTTAGCTTTTTGATCTTTGCTTCTACTTCTTCGTCATTGATTGTAGCACTCACATCTGTTTCGCCTTCGTTTATATTCAGCGTTTCTTCAGCATCATATAGCTCTTTAAAATGCTGTTGCCATGTCTCTATAGGTACTCCTTTGGTCTGCAAATTTTGTAATGCAAAGCAAATAAAAAACTATTATAAGTATTATTCATATTTGCCTATTTATGTTTTTATGTAAATCAGCAACTTCTAACAATATTCAATAATATGTTTGTTTTTTACAGTCACCATATTCCAGTTCGGTTAGAGTCTTCGCCTAAAGCACAGCCTGAGCGTCTACAGTTTGCCTCGTGGCTGGGTGACACCACTTCGTTATTGATTGTATTCAACAACGATATTTACCATAGAAAATCCCCGACCGAGGAATTTGACACAAGAATAACGTTCACCGGTCATTCTGATATTATCTATAACGGGATACCTGATTGGTTATACCAAGGTAAGTCTGGATTGTGTTTCAATCATAGCTTTATTCGATGTTAAAGTCATCTGATTATATATTAATAGGCTGGTAATCGTAACACTACTACTAATCAACAATACTACAAACAGCGGTCGTATGGGTGGAAGATAGTAAGACAAACCAGGTGGAAATTCAAAGAGGAGTCAGACAGGGATGTGTGCTGTCGCCACAATTATTTAATGTGTACTCCCAACTAATATTTCAGAAGGCACTATGGGAAAGAAAGAAAGCATCATTAATAACATAAGATTTGCAGACGATACCGCAATCATGGCAGAGAATATAGACGATTTACAAACTCTCCTGGAAATCATTAACAGAGAAAGCAAAAAGATGGGACTAACAATGAATATAAATAAAACCAAATACATGGTGATCTCAAAAAACCCTGTTGACAACATACAACTGACATTGGAGGGTAAACCCCTAGAGAGAGTCAACAAATATAAATAACTCGGAGCAATTGTAAACTCACAGTTAGATCAAGAGCAGGAGATAAAGGTCAGAATAGAGATAGCTCGAAAAGGCTTTATAAAATACAAGTCAATGTTTACAAATAAGAAATTGAGTATGGCCATCAGATTGAGGTTCGTCGAATGTTATGTTTGGTCGCAACTACTATATGGGGTAGAAGCTTGGACTCTGAAAGCCCAATCTATAAAAAAATTGGAGGCATTCGAAATGTGGCTATATAGGCGTAATTTGAAGATTCCTTGGACTGCAAAAGTCTCAAATGAGGAAGTGTTAAGACGAGTTGGACATGACAGAAAGCTTATGAACACAATTAAAATAAGAAAAACATCGTATCTGGGCCACATACTCCGAAACGATAAATACTCTCTGCTACAAGTCATCATGCAAGGTAGAGTAGAGGGAAGAAAAGGCTTGGGGAGAAAGAAGAAATCTTGGCTGACGAATATCAGAGATTGGACTAACCTCAGTGTTGAACAGATATTTCACGTTGCAAAAGATCGAGAAGCGTTTAAAGAAGTGATCGCCAACCTTCGTTAGAAGACGGCACAAGAAGAAGAAGAATAGTAACACCGCAATTACACGTTCTTCTCTTTTTTGACCATTATTTTGACTACCTTTATTTCTTTGATTTTTACGTAATCGAAAAGCTTTTTTTTTCAGTTACTGTTATTAAAATTACTTCCTTATTTGATCAAAGGAATTTCAATTAGTTTCGAGAAATTCTTGGTTACTAATTTATGTTGTGGATTATCAGTTATGTTATTAATCATTTTCAAAGAGTTTAATAGGAACCACCAATCCGAAATACAAATATGTTCTTGGCGTTCGCCGGCGTGTCTATATATCTTTACCCACAAATTCAATTCTTGATTCCGTTATAATATCAATAACTCAAGCAGACTCTAACATTTACATTTTTAACATTGGTTAACGTATTTTTTCATTATAAATACATCTGCGTCTTTCAGTAGATGCTCAAAAAATAACCCAATATAAATTTAAGATAAAATAACTCCTTTATAGCTCTTCCAAGCTCAGGAAACATGCTGTACTACAAAGGCAATGAAGATAACTCTAACAACGGAGTTGGTTTTATAATAAACAAGAAAGTCGTCAGATACATACAATCCACCAAGGGTATATCAGACAGAGTAGCCTACATTATGCTTAAATTAAAAAGAACGTCTTTGAAAATTATACAGGTATACGCGCCAACAAGTTCATATACAGATGAAGACATTGAAAACTTCTACGAAGAACTAACACTCGCTATGGAAGAAAAGAAAACTAAATTGACGCTAATAATTGGAGACTTCAATGCCAAATTAGGCGGAAAAATATATGGAGAAGAACACAGAATTGGAGAGTATGGATATGGCGAAAGAAATAATAGAGGACACACATTAATGAACTACTTGGAGGAGAGACCACTTTTTGCTATGAACTCGTTTTTTAACAAAAAACCACAAAGAAAATGGACATGGATAAGTCCCAACGGTAATACAAAAAACGAAATAGATTACATCCTTACAACACAAAAAACCATCATCAAAGATGTTACAGTACTGAACCGCTTCTCAACCGGTAGCGATCATAGACTTGTCAGAGCCAAACTCAGGATTAATAGCCAATTCGAAACAAAAAAGAAAATGGAAAATGTATCGAAACTAGATATGGAAAAACTTAAGCAATCAAATAACGAATATAAACAAAAATAAAGGAAGGTATACCGGTCACTAGAGATTTGGAAAACAAAAATATCGATGAAATAAATCAGCTATTAACCGATACATTAGCAAAGGCAGGAAAAGAGGTAGCACAAATAAGAATAAAAAAGGAAAACTATGTGTCCCAGGAAACAAAAAATCTCATGAGTGAAAGAAAAACATTACTGAAACAAGATAAGAGAAACACAGTAGATTACAAAGATGCAAACAAAGCTATCAGAAGGAATATCAAGGAATATAAAAGGAGCGTACAGGAAGAAAAAATAGAAAAAGCAATTGAACAAAATAAAAACATGAAGTGCTTAAAACCACAGCTTGGAACCATACAAATTAATGGTATAAAGAACAAAGAAGGTACAGAGACCAATAATATAGAAGAAATCATACAGATAACACAAGAATATTATAAAAACCTCTACAATACAAAACAGAAACCAACCCAAGAAATCCTTAAGCAACTACAAATAAAAATAAAAAATGTAAATTCCGACTTACAACCAGAAATCAGTAAGAACAAGATAAGAAGAGCACTCAAAGAGATGAAGAATAATAAATCACCAGGAAAAGACTGTAGAAATGCTAAAACATGGTGGGAAAACAACTAGAGAAGTTTTGTGCATACCTATGAATAAAATACTAATGACAAAACAAATACCCAACGATTGGAACGAAGCAATAACACTGTTACTATTTAAGAAAGGAGATAAACAGGATCTAAAGAATGATAGACCCACAACTTTACTAAATGTGATATACAAACTATTAACCAAAATATTAACAAATAGATTAACAACTAAATTAGATGGATACCAGGCAAGAGAACAAGCCGGATTTAGAACAAGCTTCAGTACAAGTGACCACCTTTTAACGATGAAGATTTTAATCGAAAAAAAAATCGAAAAGATTTTAATACATGGCATTTATTGACTTTGAGAAGGTATTTGATAGTGTGGAACACTGGGCAGTACAGAATTCCCTACAAAACAGCAGAATAGACTATCGATATACCGACTTAATTACAAATATATACAACAAGGCAACAGCAACTATTAAGCTAATGAAAAAAATGGAGCTTATTAAAATAAACCGAAGTGTAGGACAAGGAGATACCATCTCGCCCAAGCTATTCAACCAAGCACTAGAAGATGTTTTCAAACGACTACACTGGGATGGCTTGGGAATTAACATAAACGGACAAAATCTGAATCATTTACGATATGCTGATGATATTGTATTATTAACAGAAAAAAGTGAAGAATTACAAAGAATCATGGAAAAACTAGATAGAGAATCGACAAAAATTGGACTCAAGATGAATTACAGTAAAATAAAAACCATGACAAATGAACCAGAAGAACTAATAATTACAATGGCACAAACAAGAATAGAACAAGTAAAAGAGTATATATATATATATATATATATATATTATATATATATATATATAATATATATATATATATATATATATATATATATATCTAGGCCAAATCACTAAATTAAATAAAGAAAATCAGACCGAAGAAATAAAGAGAAGAATAAGATTGGCCTGGTCATCATTCGAAAAACTGTCTTATATTCTAAAGAATTCAAAATACCCCCAATACCTAAAAACGAGAGTCTTCAATCAATGTATACTCCTTGTCCTCACATATGGCTCTCAGATATGGACGTTTACAAAGGAAAATATGGAAAAAATATCAAAGACAGAAAGATCCATGGAAATACACATGCAGAACATTAAACTATCAGACAGAAAAAGAAACGAATGGATCCGTAATAAAACAAAAGTGACAGATGTCTTAACCCAAGTAGCAAAGCTTAAAGGGAAGTTCGCCGGACACACCCTAAGGCAGAAAGATGAAAGATGGACTAAGACAATTATACATTGGAGACCATGGAATCACAAACGAAAAAGGGGAAGGTCACAAATGCGATGGTCAGATGACCTGACGAAACACGCCGGGTCAAAATGGATGCAAATTGCCCAAGATAAAGAGGCATGGAAGAAGGAGGAGGAGGCCTATATCCAAGGATGGATGTTTAGGGCTGTATAGATAGACTATAGCTGTTCCAAACGACTTTTTTGTAAATAAAAAGCAAACACTACCACATATTTATTAAAAATAAGACCCATGTCAACAAGAACAACAACATTCATTTACAAAAGTACAATACATTCCTTGACAGCGTCATCATAACATCATCTACATCGAAGTTAACTTATAGAATATAGGATATGTATCCACAGTCTGGAGAAAGTTAACTCACACCAAAAGATATCTAAACTGTTACTCAAACTACAACATGAATGTTAAAAAAGAAATTATGAAATCACTATATGGAAGAGCCCGAAATAACTACTCCTACGAAGATGCATTTTAGAAAGAAATAAAATTTATTATCCATTGTCAATAATTAATAAGGAATTAAACAAAAACTTCTGTCTAAAGACATAATGAATGGACCATCCTGGGATTGGTGAAGTTGTTTCCAGATCAACACTTTGATAGAATCAATTCTATTAGCGTGCTTCGATGGAAGTAGAAGTCATCGGTGGGATTGCGTGTGTACAGAATGTTGGCGTTAGAACCTTTACTTCATTTTCCTTTTAGAAGTTAGAACCTTTACCTTTACTTCCGTAGATGTTACAACCAAAAGAAGAGGAAAATATGCATAGATATTTGGTAATAGAAGCTTGGGTTCCAAAATTATGATTAAGCCATATGTTGTAGAAATATATTAAACCTATGTTGTAGAAATAAGTTACAGACTTTACACAAAATCTATTTTACAATTATGTTGTGAAGAAGTTTGTAATTAATTTCTACAACCTTGTTTCAATATATTTTAACAAAAACTTCTGCCTTGTGTTACGATTAGGCATTTTTATAAATATATTTTTTGATTAAATTGATCTTCTCTTACTTTTCAGAGGATATCTTACAAAGTCCAGAGGCCTTGTGGAGTTCCTACGACGGAACTCATTTAATGTATGCTACTTTCAACGACAGTCAAGTGGGAACCATGAACTTTCCATGGTTTCAGTTCCAAACTGGATCCGTTTTAGGATCGCCGGGGGTGTACCAAAGAGCCCCTTCCTTTCCCTCTTCTAGAACATTAAGGTATCCAACGGTAAGTTATTATTTATATATAGTTTTGATTAATTAGAAAACAACACATGCTTACGTAGTGTGGGAAAGAGGTTTGGTACAACATAAGAAGCTTCTTATGTTTCACCAAACCTCTTTGTTAAGACTCCGTCATAACTATCTATCTATCTATATAGGGATTTTTACAGCTGTCGCCGCCTTCCTTCTTTCAGCCAACGTCTCCAGTCCTTTTTGTTCTGCCATTCTCCATCTCTAAGGCCTCGTCTTTCCATGGCCTCGTCCACTTCATCCCTCCATGATTTTCGGGGTCTACCTTTTTTCCTTCTTCTTATTGGGCTCCAATCCAAAATCTTTTCTATCCACCTTGTATGATCTCTTCTTCTCACAATCTATACCAAATTAAACGTTTTTCTTCGATGTAGCTGAGTATGTCTTGCTCTGGTGCCATTCTTCGTTTTATCTCCTCATTTTTGATACGACCTATTTTTGTCACTCCTCAGCTTCTTCTCATGAACTCCATTTCAGTTGCTGTGATTTTGGACCTGTTTCGTTTATTTATTACCCAATTCTCTGCTTCATAGGTCATTATACTGCGCACCAAGGTGTTATAAATTTTCATCTTTGTATTTCTGGTAATCTGTTTATCCCACAGTACCCCATTCATTTGTTTAATACATGTTCTTGTCTGTGCTAATCTGCTGGTTATCTTTTTCTTGGTGGTTCCATTTTTTGAGAGTATGAATCCTAAATATTTGAATTTTTCAGTGCCGTTAATTTCTCTATCATCGTCTTTCCAAGTTTCTCACTGGTTCTTGCTCTGTTGTTAAATATTCGGTCTTTTCTAGGTTTATTTCCAGTCGATTTTTTGTGTATTCCTTTTCTAACTTTCGGGGCATATAGCACCGATCTTCTTCATCTTGAGCCGTTATCACTTGGTCATCTGCAAAGCTTAATGTGTACAAGAAGCTGTCCCGGATTGGTATTCCCATCCCTTCACATTTCCTTTTCCATGGTATTAATATTTGTCTATTCCTTTTTAACCGGCAATAAAAACAATATTGCCGGTTTTAACTCTTACCTTGTTGTTGTTGTAAAGGTTTTTTTACGACTTCTATTAACCTCTGAGTTATTCCGATTTCCTTCATCGTGTTCCATAGTTGTTTTCTGGGAATCGTGTCATATGCCGTCCTAACTGTATTCCGTAAAATAAAAATAAAAGAAAAATGTAATTAAATAAGTATGCGAATGTAACTAATGCTAATTTTGACAAATTAATAATGTTCATGTTCTATATTGTATTTGTTTTGTTAATCACTTTTGTTTAAAATAAAGCTATTTGTATATTGTTTTTGATACATTATACAGTTCATATACAAATAATTCCTGTGTGAGAACGCCATCGAAAGCGACTGCAGTTGTATAGTTGAATAAACACGATAAAAATATTTTGTGATTAAAAATCCATGGGAAACATCCCAAACATTGGTAGTCTTTATATTTCTCAATGTTGTCCTGCGTATACCAATATGGTATTTGGTAAGGCCTGAAGCTTTCGCAATTTTTCTTTATTTGATTATTTTTCTACTTCTGCTTTTAAAATGCTATGAGTATTATTTATATATTTTGTGATATTAAGTAGTTCCTCTTGTCAAAGAATATTCTTCAATACTCAAGTTTTTTCAGGACTAATGATATTGTTTGATATTCCTCGTTTATACTGGTATAATTATCAATGGATATTGACTCAAATTTGTTACTATTGTGTAAAAAGACACATTTTAAACGATGTTTTTAAGCCTTCTTTGATAAGTTCAAATCTTCCGCGATCATTCCGGTACAACTTGACTGGCCTTCCATACCTCAAAAATTAGAATTTGAACTGACTCTCTTGAAATTCCAAATGGATGTGATTTGATTTATTTATTTACCTACTTTTTAAATATAAATATTTTTTGCATGGCTTCTTGGCCTCTGGCTAAGATCAAAGTGTAGTATCTGTTCTTATCATCTTTATATCTGACACCTCCGCAGGGGTCTGTTATAAGCGCAACGTTATTTTTAATTGCCATGAATAATATTATAGCATCAAACTCCAGCTTAGTTTGTGACAGATTATAATTATGCGGATGATCTGGTATTAATATCTTCAGGAAAAAACATCTCATCAGTACAGCGTCACTCACAAACCTCACTTTATGAACTCGAAAACTCGATACCTTATATGTAGTATTTGTCAGTTCTGTGCCATTTCACGCAGTTAAAAGTAATTTTGGGTGCTGTCTCATCCAAGAATTTTATAAGATCATCGGCTTTCATATCAATACCTATGCGTGGCACATGTACATTACCTTGTCATGTACATGTACATGTGTTAAACATTGCGATGGAAGTAAAGTGAAATGTTCCTTGATGCTAGCATCCAAATCGCTTTCGCACTGCGCATATCGCCTCTTTTCATTGAACAATTAAATTCAAACCTATTCAATATTATTATTCAAATATTCTAAAATTTAATATTAAGCAGGCTATTTAGCTATATAAATAAACATTTAAATTATTTTTATCCTCATTCGAAATTTTAAGACGCAATTCTTAGACTGTTTAATAAAAATTTTAAGGAATATCTATGATATACAAAGTGGAAAAATATTCTACAATAAAATTCGATAATTTTTACTTACTGTTCATTCAATATTTTTTATTGCCAAATGTATATTTACTATTTAAATATATTTTGTTACAGCCTGGGACACCTATACCCTCAGTACAACTGTGGATTGTAGATATTTCTAATTTAACTTCGTTAGAGTATCATCTTGTTCAACCACCAAAAGCCTTACAAAGACAGTAAGTAAACTTTGAGGAGTGATAACCTTTTAATCATTCACCTTATACTTGTTATGTGCTTTATAGGTTTATTTAGTTTCTGCATTCTAGCATTTACATTAATATCTCTAGACAAATTGGAGTCGTTTGGATGTATACTTTTTAAAATATCGGTTGATCTAAATACATTTACAGAATAATCTAACTTTCAATAGGGGGCCTCGCAATAAGTAAAAGATAGTACTCGTGTTATATTGCTAATAGCAAAAAACAACTACATTAATTTTGTACATTATTAATATATATAAAGTTTAGTTAGGCCTATATTATAACGAATTCGATTGTGATTGGCTGTTTACTATCAATCCAAAAATTATAATTCATAGTTAAAACTAGCACACAATTAATCATCGTTTTGCGCTAATTGTTCAAAGCTTACTTCTACCTCCGATAGAAAGCTCCAGTGTGATGGCTGTAAGAAACAAAAAATACATATAGCTTGTACTGATCTGTCACAAAAAAATATTATTAATAACAAAGAAATGAAATAGGTGAGGTCGATCGCACGAAGACTTATACTCGCTTCCGCTTCAATTCAGCGGAAGCTCCGAACGCACTCGCAAACAAAATATTCGGCTGTGCAGACACACGGTAAAGTTTAATACACAATACCGATGGGTTCTGCTTGGTTAAGGACAGAGTATGATCCTTAATACGGAAATCTCTCTGTCTGGGTTGGCTCGCAGGTTCAATACACCAGTGAGTCGGGGAGCCTAGAGCGCTAGCTACAATACTGTTTAATTAATTTTGCAAATATTGACACTCCCACGGTTCAACCTGTTAAACGATGAGAACATCGTTACATCTGAACTCAGCAATAAATTAAACCAACTTGATTCCATTACAACAACAGAATTTACTGACACACAAACCAAAATCTATTCCCGTCGTATTTTGATACGGAGTAGTGGCTATACCGTTCTGAGGATACCTAAAGAGGTCGAAATGCGTATAAGCTTGTCGCTCCTCTGCCCTCATTTTTTATAAAATAATAATAATAAATTTGTTATATTACATTTACTTTAACTCTCCAAATGATAAATATCTTAGTTGTTCTTACATGCACCATTAGCAACTTCATTAATATCAGGGCAGTTACTCTATTTCGCGTATTTGGGAAACTCCTGGTAAATAACTTTGACTACTTGTTCTATAAATTTGCTTTATTAGCCAGGAGAAGGGTTTAAGACGTTGCCCGTTAAACTCACTCGTAAATTTAATACACCTGTATATATTCACCAAGTTTACAACCATCGTCATTTCATATGGAGTGTAATGTAGTTTAAAGAGGGAGATAACATTAAAAATTGATATTAGAACAAACGTGTACAAGGGAAAATTGCTTAAGAATTAATCAACAAATTGTCTGTCTACACAATTCTCTATATAACCAATATATTTATTGGTTATATATATTGGTATATATAACCAATAAAATAAACATCTTACATTTCTTGCAAATTCATTAGTACCTGTTAACCTCCATCACTCCGACACTGGCAACCTTATTTAGGGATTAGTAACCCTCACAACTATTGTATTCTATTCTGCTCCAACCTTTATACCTGGTGGTCATACTCAATTTAATTGTTGTCCTATATTGTTTTCCTATATACTTCTGTAAACTTATTGACAAATATCTGTTTTTCATTGAGTCACCCGTATCAACAGTTTAGGGATTTGCATACATAATTTATTGTTTTATTACTTCCTCATACATAAAAATACACTATAAGAGGATTAGCTTTAATGCAATCAAAATCTATTAAATTATTTAGAAAAGTTGTTATTGCTGGAGTTCATTTCAAATTGTTTTGCTAGTAGTTCTGATATGTCGTTATTAGATGTTACTATATGTTTATTTTTACATAAGAATGAAATCCTTTTATGTGTATTGCTTTCAGATATTTTTCTAACATTTTCACATAGCGTGCTTATAGGTATTAATATTAGTAATTAATAATATAGTATTGGTATTAATAAAAGACATAAATTCTTGCCAATTAATTGCCTGTCCCAGCCAGCATTAAATTCGCTCCATCTTTTACTAGCGGCGTCAGACACTACTACCTTTTTCAGTCTTTGTCCGTAAGTTTGTAACAACATCGCATTATAATTAGCCATAAGAGACTAAAATGACGTCATAGTCTAAAATTCATGCGTCAAAAAAACTTTATAGAAAATTCCCTACTTCCAAAATCAACATCATAAAACTTTCTTAATAGTTTTGCCTTATGTCAACAAAATAATATCGTTTCTAGATTCAATGTTTTTACTCCTCAGTCTTTTACTCAATAGTTTAAAAAGCCCTGGAAACTTACACTTCTAAATTAAATTTCAGCTCTTACAGACGCCAACGCCAAATTTTCAAGTTTCCCTAACTTAGAATTCTTTCATCGTTTTAGCATCTTCATATCCTGAGAGCAGAATGCTGCACAAGTGATTTATTGAGTCGGCTCTATCTTTTCGGGGAAAGTGTTAGTAGAAATAATTTGTTCAAATTTATATGATAAATTTTTATTTAATTTATTTTACGTGAAACTTTTTACAAACATTTCGAGAGGTTATTAAAACAATTGAGCATTTATTTTTGTACACCGTTTGAAAATTATTTATAGCGCAGTTTTTATGCCACATTCGTAAAATTGCTCATATCATTGAGGTATTCGTTTCATCAAAGTTCTTTAGTGCAATTATCAGATGTTTACTATTTCTCAGTATCACAGTTGATTGGTCAAATTGAGACATTTCACAAAAAATTTGATCTTTTCGAGAACTGCATGAAAATAAACGACCTTTTCCTGCGTGTTTTGAAATAAATCAAGAAAAAACCATGGTTTGATTTCTCGAGGTTTGCAAAAGTTTTTACGGAAATAAAAAGAGAATTCGATAAAAAGTTTTCGGAATTTGATGCGCAAAGAAAAATGAAGACATTAGTACCTTTTGGAAGTTAGTTTTCAAGGATCGTTTTTTTAACCCTTAACTACCATGGCCAAAAATAGTAACATTTGTACCATGGCAGGATCAAATTTGACCCCCATTGTTTTTTGTATCAAAAAATATTCTTTTTTTAACTTGTTTTATTTTAAATTATTTTGTTTACAGCTACTTTTACATTTATATAAAAATAAACGAATTTGGTTAATAAGATATAACTTTATTTAAAAAAAACTTTTGTATTCAGTCAAATTAACATAGCTATGCACTTTCTCGAATTATAAGAAAAATAATAACAATGTGCAGTTTTCTTATATCCAATGGTGAAATCTAGGTATCATAGCTCCTACCTAAAATAAAAAAAATCGATTTAGATTTCGTATCTCAAAAATGACAAGCATTATTTTACCTTAATTTTCAACACAGCTTATGCATAACGTCTGTATGCGGGAATTATTTTCCAAATAAAATCTCGACATTTATCGCATGATGAGCTTTCTTTCTTTTGGTTTTTGGAATATGGACATATTTTACACCTTCCCCTCTTTTTTCGTCGTTGTGGCTCTGGATTTGCGGCAGGCATTGGTTCCTGAAGTCTGGAAACTTTAAAAATGGCACTACGAATTTCTCTCGGTAAACAAGTTTGCTGAGCTGTACGAGTTAAATGGGCCTTAATAAGTTCTTGACCTAAAGTGGTTAGAAACAATCTTCTTTCCATTATTTGATTTTGCTGAACTCCATTAAAGATTACGTTAGCATTTAATCCTGCAATGTCCAAAATGCGAAACCATATTACTTGAGGCCATTTATGAGTTCTTCTGCCAGTTTTATAGCATGCGCATTTCTTATCCAATGAAACCACCCCACCTTTTGTCTCGTTGTAAAAATTTATAATCTCTGGCTTTCCATTAACCATTGTATTGAAATGATGCATAGTTGACACTAACAACACTGCACGATTTTTCTTAGGAAAAAAAGATACAAGGCTCTCGCTTCTTGTAAAACCAAATAAGGCAGAATTAGGTGGCCTGTTTTTTTGGTGTTGAAATTCAGCAGGAACCTCTCTTTTATTTCTTTTTAGAGTTCCAACATATGAAATTTTATGGCTTCTCAGTTCTTTTATGAGCTCAATGGACGAAAACCAATTATCTGCTGTTATCTTTCCTATTTGTACCAGAAATTGGTGGAATAAGTGTCAAAACATCTAGACTGGGGATGGATACATTTTTTGGATTTGCTCTGCGTGTATCTTTTCCAGTATATAAAAAACTATTTAGCAAATAATGTGTCTTAGAGTCCACTAAACACTGCATTTTCAGACCGTATTTGTCTGGCTTATTTTTGAGATACATCCTGAATTGGCACCTTCCTCTAAATGCAATAAGCATTTCATCTATGTGAGATATTCACCACAGCTATAATTGGACTGGCAATTAATTATAAACATATTAAAAATATTGGATATAGCTGCCAGTTTATCTCCGTGCGCAATACGTTCTTGTCTAGTAGCTGGGTCGTCAAAACAAAAGCTTCCGAGCAAAAAATAAAATCGGTTTAGTGACATGGTTGCTCGAAATATATCACGGCCAGTACCATTCGTAGCAAATAAACACCTTAAATCTTCATTATTGGATTTAAATACCCCAGCTAAATATAATAAGCCTAAGAGGGCCTTTAATTCAATTATGTCACGATGATTGGTATATCGACACGATAAATTGTGTAAATTATATTTAGAAGCCATATTAGTTATTCGTTCATTGAATTTCTCAAGAATTTCTTGCAATATATCGTGGCTAATAATACATTCCCAAGCATCAACTGGTTTCTCTGGCATACTAGCCCGAGCTTTTCCAATAACACCAGGTAAATGACTAATTAAATTATGCTTACGTGTACGAGAAAAGGTGGGAGAAGTTTTAGACCACTTGTACCTATTTTTGCCATAAACACATCCCTTGAGTCAGCTATATCACTTTCTTCACCCGAATATTCACTACCAATTTCGGAATTATTAATTTGCC